CCATACCAACTCCAACAATGCCACACCTCCTAATAATGCTACTCCCTTTGGGAGCCATTTTTTTTCAAACCACCACAAGGAGGAAATTAGGATTATAAAATTCCATACAAAGACATAGATTCTCATTTATTTGGACAAGGGTAATTTAAATGTGTCAGCCATAGACCTTCTACAAGAGATACCCTTAGATACATTTATATCAAGGTGGAAGGTTATATTGCATTAAAAGACACATGGAGAAGCAGAAAGATGTTAGGTCACACACACACACACACACACACACACACACACACACAAAACCAATGCAGGCAGGGAAGGCAAGAGAGGAAGGTGGCTAAGGATACATCTGCATGGTGGAGACTCATAAAAACTGTGTGTCTAACATCTATACTTTCTAGATTCTGAAATGAACTATGGCCATTTTCTGCTTTTTGGCTAAATCTATTGTCTACATAATGTATGGGACAAAATCTCAGTGTTGCTGAGGATTGTACTTCAGGTTTTAGGACTAATAGTAGCATTTACTTGGTATTGAGATTTCTATAGAGTATGGAGATAAGGCTGATATTGCTGAAAACCTTTAGTATCAAGGCTATCTAAAAGAAACTGTTAAATTCTGCATTGCCAAAACAAGGTTTTTTTTACATTATTAATATTTCCATTTTTAATGTTTACTATAGTAGTCATAACTATAATGAATGAGAAAGGCAAAAGGATACAAAAAAGCTACACACCTTATTGAATAGTCTCCTAGAGCACCCTTGAACTCCCTTTATTGTTGCTATATACCATTGAATCTTGATATGACAACACTAGGGCTTCTTCCACAGCATCCAATTCTGTCCCTGTGTAATGAATACACTCTTTTTAAGCTCCCAACATACTGAACATTTCTTTCAGAAGGAATAAACTAGTAATGGCTGCAGTTGAAAATTTAAATTTTTATGAAGTTCAGCAGGAATAGTTCTTGTTATTTTAGCTCAACGAACTTAACTAACTATTCATTTGTTATTTTCCTTATGTGAAGTGACCTAGTAAAAGGTATATATTGTAGAAAATTAATGTTCAGACATTGGCCTATACTTTTTCCAAGTAATATTAAATATACATTATTTGCCTAGCAACTTTTTCTAATGCTGAATCAATTTGGTAATATTTAGTTTCTCCCTGGAAGTCTACCAATATCCTCACAGTAAGATCTGTTTGTAGTCTTTGATTTTTTTGCTTGTTCACGAGGAAGCACAATATGTTGGAACTCAGTAGGTTGCCAAAATAACTACCACACATAAAATTGATACTAGCACTTCAGTGGCAAGAGGCCCAAATACATTTTCTATAGGAATTCTTCTGTGTTAAAAAGTCAGTTTTTCATTGTTGTACTTATTAGTGATTTTTAGATTATTTAAAAACTTTATTTAAAAGATCCATTTCAGACATCCTGGCCTTGGTATATATGCTTCCATCAGTGTACACATAACCCAATCCCTTTCTTTTAGATGAACATTCCATTATAAGAATGTGCAACTGTCAAACAGTGGTGTATTACTGTTTTAATAGAATAGATGGAATAATTGTAGGGATATCTTGGTGGTTAAGAACACTGGATATTCTTCTGGGAGGCCTGGTTTGCTTCCTAGCACCCAAATGGTGATGTTTAGCTATCTGTAATTCAATTTTATGGAATTTGATGCTCTCTTCCAGTCTCTGAAGTCACCAGGCACACATATGAAGTACATACAAACATGTAGACAAAACATTCATATGCATGATTTAAAATAAAAATAAATTTTAGCAAAACAAAGAATTCATGGCAAACTCAATAACACTTGCTCTCAAAGAGTTTGTTCTCAAACAGTATGACACCCATCTCTGATGAAAATGCTGCTCTGAGAAAAAAGTTTTGAAAGTATTCTACTGATCTACTGGGTTCAACATTCTTGAATTGAGTCATGACATCAAGTACAAATATGTTAGCCTACATTCATAGCTATTCCAGGATGCATGCATCCTGTTGGCCACAGTTTTAAAATGTCAGGTATTTCATAGTTAATGTTTGATGATTATGAAAGTCTGAGTAGATGGTGATGTCAAATTAATTTGTCAGGAGTGGTGTGGCACAGATAAGAATGAGATCCTGAGTTAGATGCAGCCTAGCCACACATGTGGAATATATTTTATATAATTTCTGAGCCTCTGTTTTCTTATATAACCAAATCATTTCTGTAGTATACTTTCTTATCAGGACAATTAGACTGTAAATAATGACTTGTAGCCTTATTAATTGTAAAAGCTTGGCCATTGCTTAAGCTTGTCCCACTAGCGCTTATGACTTAAATTAACCCATATTTTATTAATCTACATTCTACCATGTGGCTTTTACCTCTCTCCCATTTTGTGTGTCCAACTCATTCTGCATCTTGATGATGTCCCCTACATGCAATTATCTCCTCTTCTCTTTGACCTGAAGTCCTGGCTATCTCTCCTACCTAACTATTGACCATACAGATTTTCATTACACCAATCTCAGAAATACATTTTCATGCAGTGTACAAATACCCCACAAACTGTAATAATTGAGACTTGTGCAATAATTTTAGATGGATTACATGCACTAATGCCAATAGGCTCTTCTGCAAAGTTTCTAACAATGAAGTATCTGGCTCCATATATTTCTTCACTTTTTTTTTAGTTTTCCTTTTATTTTCATATTTATCATCAATGAGACCAGAAAATATAAATATAAATATAAATGGTACACTAATAAAATAATATTGTGAGAACAGTACTCTCTCTCTCCCTCTCTCTCTCTCTCTCTCTCTCTCTCTCTCTCTCTCTCTCTCTCTCTCTCTCTTTGGCACCACACTGAGGGCCTGGTTGTATCCTGACTTTTGAGGCACCTGTTGCTCAGTTGACTCTTAGGTAAGGCCTAGGAAAAGGCAGAGAATTCAGTGAGGAATGAACATGTAGGATGGAAACAAAGTAAAACCTGGAGGGTCTTGAAAGGTTAGATAACATGGCAATTAGTAATATTCAGAGCTGCAAAGACAGAAGTCTTTTGTAATTTTAATGAATAAAATTGTGCTTGCATTTTCTATATACACATGAGTATATTCAACCCAGTTCAAAGCATCCTGTGCAATAATGAGTATATCCTCAGGTATAGACATTGGTAAAACAAGTGCTCTGCATGGAGAATTTATGGATCTGCTACACTATTACTTTGCCTTTAAATTTACTTATAATTTACCTACTACATAATGTGATTGTTCTTTAATTACTCCCTTCTTCCAACTCCTTCACAACTGTTTTTTTTTTCAAATAACTCATGAGGTAAACTTTTTGCTGACCTAGTTATAGTGTAAACCACTTGAATGCAGGCTACCTAAAAGTGGCCATGCCCTCTCTTCCCTGAATCCATTAAACATCAGTAACTCTGCAGTCAAAGGGTGGGCCCCAAGTCACTTACCCACTGCATGTATGAATGCTTCTTATCTTCTTCTTGTGCAGTTCTTGTACAAGCTGGCACAGCAGCGTCAAGATAATGGGTCCTGTCATGTCCAAGAGACACTGCTTTGCCCTGGTGCTCACCACACTCTGTGTTTTAATAAATTTTCTGCCCTCCTCTTCCAAAAGGGTCTCTGGAACTTGCAATACTTATGATACAGCTATCCCACTGGTGGGTAAGTATCCCACTAATGCTTGTTCTCTGGACTTCTATTATTTAAGAATCCCTTTTTTAATCACCATGCACTGCACAAAGGAAATTCTCTAATAAGGTCTCAGAGCTTCAGATAGTCTATGAGTACAGAGATCAAAGTTCAGAAGGAAATCTGAGATAGCAGTTTCTTTGACGAGGGGTAAGAGCTATATTTACCTATAACTATATGGATACATTTTAGAATGCAGATGGGAATTATTTTGGCCTATTAACGTGTTGGCTTTAGGTGAGTGCAGAAATCTTAAGGACAAGAGTGAGCATTCCCCAGGCTAGGGCAGATAACAGGTCTAGCCTGGCTGGACCTAGAGAGAAGACAATGGCATGAGATGACAGGATAAGATCTGATGAACCAAAATGACTACTCATGTACAAAGGATGAATCCTGTGTGAATTCTGGCCCAAACCTGGAGGTCGGAAGGCATGGGCATGGCTTTTAAGACTAGACTGGAATATTGTGTGTGGTACCATTTGGTCCCTTTTGAGGATTGTGGTGAGTACAATTGACTTAGGAATAAAAAGAAGATACAACAAAGCTGACCCAGAGTACAGGGTGCCCTGGCCTTGTAGAACCTGTTGGATAGCTATAGCATGTGTAATGGGATATATTCTGGCAAAATGAATTACTTTCTGGTTCTTCATTTAGTTTTTATGATTCCATCTCACCTGCCATGTTTCTATTTGCTTGGACCAGATTATCTTAGATACAACAAAGCTGACCCAGAGTACAGGGTGCCCTGGCCTTGTAGAACCTGTTGGATAGCTATAGCATGTGTAATGGGATATATTCTGGCAAAATGAATTACTTTCTGGTTCTTCATTTAGTTTGGTGTGTTTTTTGGTTTTGGGGTTTTTTTTGGTGTTTTTTTCAGGGTTTCTCTGTAGCTTTGGAGCATATACTGGAACTTGCTTTGTAGACCGGGCTTCTAGAACTCACAGAGATCTGCCTCTCTTTGCATCTTGAGTGCGGGGATTAAAGGCATGTGCCACCACAATATCCCCATTACTTATTAACATAGAAATACTTTTAATTGTGAATTTACCCTCTAATGACTATATCAACATTAATATTTACTGTGTTTCTAAAGTAACCTGTAGATTTTCCATTTGCCAAACAAACCTCTTAAAATATTAACAAATTTAGTACTCAATGAATAAAAGATACCAAATTTTCTTTATAACTTTGTCATATATACAATGTTTATTTTTCTTTTAAAAGATACCCAGTACAATAAAGCATACCTTCAAACTGTATAATATTGAGACTATTAAAATGGATGCAGCATCATGAATCATTTCTAACTCTTGGGGATAAGCAAATGTCACTTGTAACAAGTATCACACACCTTAAAAGCTTGAGACAAATGTCAACCATATTCATATCTACACGCAAGCAATAGGATAATTTACAAAGAGCAAAATGACGAAGTTCTTCATCAGATGATTGCAAGTCTTCAAGACCAGTCAATACAGTAAAATCCACATTTTCTATTGTGTCATAAACCTAAAGATCAAAATAATAATCTGTCAGCTATTATTTACAATCTTATCCTTTTCTTTTGAGATATTAAATGGCATCTAGGGAAATTATAAGGGCTTATGGAAAACTAAACTACTATTATTCTGCAAAAAGTACATAGCAATAGCATTGTGATAGACAAGAGTATCTATCAAGCATAGTTGGAGATGTTTCTTCTGACAGTAGATAGTAATTAAAAAGGAGATTCACTACTGGACAATGTTAACAGAGTGAGAGACTTTGGACAACTCAGCCCTAAATAAAATGTCTTTATCAAATCTCTCCCTCAAGGATCCAGTATCTACATAGATGAGAAGGTAGAAATATTGTAAGAGGCAAAAGTGGTAGGTGATTCTAGGGAACAGCATCTTCCAGGTACAGCAGGACTGATACACAAATAAACCTGTACAAGACCTGCACAGGTTCAAGCCACACAAAAATTCCAGCACTGAAAAGAGGAAGTAGACACGGAGTCCAATGCCTAATCAGAAAGTTATTTGCAATTGATATCTGATAAAAAGAGCAAAAACTGTTTTTCTCCAAAAGAATATCATTGGGCATATTGACTAAACTCTGGGTCAGGCCTCATGCCCAGTGTGAAACATACTAAATGGGTTTTTCTAGTTTTGTGGAGTTGACTTTTTATTTGGGGGGAGGTATTTTTGCCTAATTTGTCCTCCTTTTCATAATTGTCTTTTCTATTTTTATTTCCATTTTTTATTTTTGTTGTCCTTGTTTTATGAAAGAGTGGGGAGAGAGGAAAAGGAAGAACAGGAAGTTGGGTAGATAACGTGGTAGAGAAAATCTGTAGGAATTGGGGACAGTAAATAATATGATGCAAATATACTATATAAAAGGATATTCAACTAAAAATTAGGAAAAGAAAACCTGTTATCACAAAGCAAAATAAAAGAATATGAAATTCTCATCACAGGTATGGTTTTTCACATGCCAATCACTTACTATTATACATCTGTCAGTCATCTAAAAGCAAAGGCAAGACCAAAGTTTGCATTTTCTTTCATTAAATTGACTTCAGTTGAAATTGGTCTTTTTATGATTCTGAAGATGGAGGATAAGTATTTCATATCAAACATAGACTTGTGTTTGGCATTGGTGATCAATACTGATGGAATAGTGGCAATTTAATATGAAATGGGATTATTTCAGTCTGCCCAAAGCAATAGGTATTTTTTCAAATTACTATGAAAAAGTTAAACTTTAATCTCTATCCATTAAACTTGTAGACAGTTCTGACACTGTCTACAAGATTGGGTGGCAAAAATCTATCTTTGCAAAGTGAGGTGTCACAACATTTAATATCCATTGCAGAAGTCATAGCATTTGTGAATGAGAAAAGTGGAGGTAAGAATACTACTCACAGAGTTGAGTATTTTCTTGGTGTCCTCAGAAAGCTCTTCATTTTTTCTCTCAATGTCTTTGGCTAATGATATGACATCATTATGTGTTCCTGGCCTATTTCCGAGTATGGTCAAGAAGTTTTTAAGAGTGTCATTCCAAGCCCGCACTCTACTGAGTATCAGTTTTGGAAAGTCTTGAAGCTAAGAAGCCATGTTTCAGCATGAACCATGAAGATAAGCAAAATAAAGAAGGATACGTCAACCATAGTTTTCTATGAGACAGGCGAATTAAATATCCATTTGTTATCTTGGGGGAAGGTAGAATGGTTTGGGGGGAATAAAAATAATATAGATTAATAAAGTAAAAACCATTAACCTGTAATTTGCCATCATAAAATAATAGTATATATTATTTACAATTACCTATTTTATTGATCATGTGTATTTTCCATATGAAATTCTGCCATCTGACCTCCCTAAAAACTCTTTCATGCTTTGTTATTTTGCTTGTCTAGGGGAACCCAAAAATTTTCTGGAACTTTCCTTTGATTGAGGGAATATAGATCCCACCCAGTGTAAAAGGCAAGAAATTTAACTTAGATCCATAAAACAAGAAATCCAGATTGATCACAATCACATTTATTTTTTAAGTTATTTTAGACAATTAATAAAAGTATGCCATGAAAACAACCTGACATTAATAAGTGTGGTTCCTTCAGTCTAACACTCTCCCTCTCCTTGAATCTAATACAACAGAATATTTGGTGAAACATGTAAGCGAAGAAGAATTGAACAGTGAGATGACATTGTCTTTAATGCTATGATAGTATGAATAGAAATAACATCAGAAATTTTACTTTCCAGCATGTTTCAGGAATTTACATGAAACTCATTCCTGGCTTAAAATGTTTCATGTGCTGATACGTGTAGTCATTACAGTAACAATGAAAAGAGAAGAGAGGTATCCAGTAGACATTGTGATGGAAATAGGAAAAATACAGAAAGGAAAGGACCAGATTCAAAGGTGGTGGCAATGCAGTGTCCTGGGGCCATTGCTGCATATGAATAATACGAAGGAACCTGACACCCATTTTGATATAAAAGGGTGATGGCCCAAGTTCCATAAAATTTTCAATGACTCAGTCTAATTAATTACCTTAGCTCGGTTTTGTGAGTGTTAATTGCAATGTAAATAAAACATGTTGTGAAGTGCTTAGCTATGGAGTACATACCTAGAAACATTTTTCTTCTTTCATTTTACCTCACTATTTTCACACGAGGCTTAAGTCAGTTCATTTGAGATTAAGTTATGGAAAAGAATCATACGGAAAGATCATGACAGTTGTAAACTAGCACTGAACTGATATGAAGACCTTCTCACTACAACTGGGGGCATTGCTCATTCTGAGGAACATTAGACTGTGTTTATTGCACTCCCTTGTTCAGGTGCCTACAGTCAAGACAAAGAAGAGATCACAGAAGTTGTGAAGAAATGAACAGGAAACTAAGAAGCAGAAGTAGAATCAGATGAGTCTTGAAAACCAAGAAGACTAAGCATGGTAGTGAGAAGTATGAGAATTGCTAGTGGGGAGCCATTCTATGGTAATATACAAGGAAGAAAATTGTATATGCATTTATTAAACAAACTCTAGTGTTGAGATATCATTAAGCTAAAATCCTCTTAATGGACAATTTATGGACCTGTTGCAATATTACTTAACATTTCCTTATTTTTTATCAGGTATCTAACATGATTTCTCTTTGTCCACTCTATTTCCTTATGCATAATTACTGTATCTAAAATAATACTTGTAGCATGACAAAGCAAAGTTAGTCTACTGCTTCATTTGCTTATGTAAAAGAAAAATAAATCAAACCAAAGACTCACAGAGATCTTTTGGGCTTCTTCCATGCTTTCTGGTGTTTTCATGGAGTAATTGTGGCAGCAGGTGAGATGCTTGATCAGAAACTCCTGATCCTCAAAAAACTCAAGCATCTGTATATATCAAAATTAAAATTCAGTTAATTGGAGTCTGGAAAATAAGCCAGTGAATCCACAACAAGAATGTTATTGCACTCAATAGATATGTGCTTTTTAAAATTTAAATCTGCATAAAATCTGAGATTAAAGTCTTAACAATGAACATTTTGATGCCTTTCTTCTTAATTGAGTCTGTAATCTCAATTTGTTCTTCCCCAAAATGTCCAGTGCTCTAACCCTTTAGCCTATTGACTTTTCTCATATTTGTTTGTTATTTTCCTCTAAATCTTTATTTATTGAAGGGAAACCTTAAAAAATAACAACACTAGTAAATACAAAGTGTCTTGGAGATCATTTTTTTCTAGAATCTGGGCCCAGCACCAGAATATATAATGAAATATATATTCATTTATTTCTTAGTTCCTGTTTATCCAAAATGATACGTGTCTTTTAGGTAGGCATTAACCGCTGAGCATTCTTCAAGCCTGTCTACATATTTTTAAATTGTATGCATTCTTTCTATTACAAGTGAATATATATATAGCAGTACCATACAGTGTTAATCATAAATTCTGACTGGAATTGTGTGAAGTTTGACAAACTGACTATTTTTAGGAAATAGTAAGCAATGAAATAAAAAACCCCACAAAAGTATTTATATGTTGTTTAATATATAATCTTAAATATATTTCAAATATACTATTGATAACTAATTATTTAAAACTGACAATCAGCTATTGTATAAAAGTTTAATGGGTTAACAGGAATGCTAAAACTTTGAAAGAGAGTCAGTAATGAGGAATGAGAAAAGTATGAATAAACACAAAACAAGTGAATGCAGACATTCATTCTCTTGATGCCCATTGTTTTACTGAAGCCTTTCTATTTTTTTCTCCTTTATGTTGACTGACCTTGAACAGATAACATGCAGTCATCAGGAGAAGAGAGCCTATTTTCCCCTGCCAACTAGCCCCTACTGAATGAACTCTAGTAATGGAGATCTCTAGAAGGATTCCTAACACTGAGGGTTTCTGAAAATCAATTAGTGTTTTTCCTCCCTCTTGACATGGTTTCTATTTGTATTGGTTCTGTTTCCTACACTCAACTGACTATAAAACTTCAAGCTCCTTGGGTATCTACAGTAAACTAAGTAAAAACATTTCTTGTTCCTGAAAAGCAAATCTGGACATCAGAATTCTTCCCTAATCACAATGATTATGATTATAGTTTTATGCCACAAATATACTTTTTAAATTAAAAAATAAATAATTTTAGAGAAAATCTTGAACAAATCATTTCATTTTATTTTTTTCAAATCAGATTCTCCAACATTCTCATTCTCAATTTGCCTTTTTCTCTCAAGGGCTTTCTTGTGTAGTAGTACTAGAATGTCGTATCATGACACACCGTGGATGCGTGCTAATTGACACTTGAATTTCAGCATGTTCACTTGTAAGTACAGGTAACGTCATTAGCATGAAGGCGTTTGTGAGGTAGAAAATGAAAATAAGTGAGGCACTTACGAATTGGTCATATGACTCTGATGATGAAACTAGCTGTGTCCAGATGAGGGCATGGCGAAAAAAAAAGTAGAAAATAGATAACATGAGTAGATATTGCAAAAAAAAAGAGAGAGAGAGAGCAAGAGAGAGATTCTCTGGGTGCCCATATTGGTACTGAAGCCATGTCTAGTGTCTCTTCCTTGACACTAACTGGCCTTGAACAGCTAACAAAGAGCCTGTTTCTTTTCTAAAACAGCCTTCCCAGTGAATAAATGTCTCTACCAGAAACCTTTAAATATGATTCCCAGCATTTGGGAGTTTATGGGAAGTTAATATATTGTTGTTGTTGTTGTTTGTTTGTTTGTTTCCCTGCTTGAATTATCACAGTTTAGATTCATTCTATCTATTCCTTGTGTCTCAGTCCAATGTAGTTTTCCTGTATTGGATGCCTCCAGTATACTAAGTAAAGACGTCAACAGCAACTGGTTTATAGCAGAAAGAACATGGAATTAGAGTTATTCTTTAGATACAACTATTAAAGCATTATATTGCAAGTGCAAAGATTTGTTTTAGTAATAAACAATTATAAAGTGAGAAAGACTTTTAAAATCATTCTATTTCTCCAAGCCAGAAACTTATAGGAGCTGTCACCTCTATTCTACTGTGTAGTAACCAGCCCCTTTTATCCTTGGAAGTATATTACTTGAAACCTGGACTCTTTCCCACACTAAGTTCAATCAAGGTCATTAACCTGAAGGCTTTGGGGGGAAAGAAGATGGAAATAAGGGAGGTACTTACAAATTTATGTTGGAATTTTTCAGAGAACTCACTGTCAGTCTGAGACAGGATGAATGAAATGACAGAAAAATTAGTGAGTTAAAATATAATATCAGTTCATATTTATTACAAAAACAGACTCTTTCTACCTGTGTCCATTTCTGTTCTGAAACCTTGTCTACCGTATTCTTGACATTGACTGACCTTGACCAGAAAACACACTATCCACTGGATCAGAGAACCTGTTCATCTTCTAAACTAGCTTCTAAGTGAATAAACCCATGAATTATAACTCCTTAGACAAGGACTCCCGGATTTCAAAGTTTGAGAAGCTAATGTTTGTGTAGGTCTCTCTGTGTGTCCCTGTGCATGTGTGCACATGTGCATTTTGATGGTTTATTTGGCTTTTCCTCTTGCCACACCATCCCCATTTAGTTTCATTCATTCCATGCGACTCACTGTAATGCATTTTCCTCTATTGGATGTCTGCTGTGTGCTAAGTAAAGATGGGAGGACAGACCGGCCTCCAGCATGCAAGGTCAGGAAGTCAGAGCTCTTCCTCAGATGGGTCGATTAGATGTTTATGCCAAAAATGGAAATTTAATTAAATTTAAAGGTAAGTACTGAAAATTTCCATCATTGAATTCTTCAAGCATCTGAAATTTCAGGAAACTTGCCCCATTCTCCTTATTTCATATTTTCAATACCTCATGATTCATTTTATAGTTAGTAACATGCATTATTAGAAATTGGCTCATGATAGCTGTAAATGGGGTACAGGACATTCTTTGACATGGAGGTTGCTTTGTGAAATAAGCCAGAGATAAATGAAATACTTACATACATCCTACGCATTTCAATGTTGAGCTTACTGATTTTCTGAGACACTTCCATGGCATGATCAAACAGTTCCTTGAGGTAGAGTTGGTCATCATCAATCTCACTGCTATTCAAAGGCACAGAGGCCACATTCTCCCATAAAAAGAGGTTTGACACCACCAGCAGCAGAAGTGCCCCTGCTAACAGAAGCAAGAGGCATTCAGATCCATTTACCCAAAATTATCAAAAGAAATTCCATGACCTTTGCCCAGTGCCTTCCACTGTGTAATTTGATACTGTATAGTAGAGGTAGTGAAAAAGCATGTTTCACTGTGAAAATGTAATTATTGCTCCATTTGCACAGGTATATAGTGTCAGAATTTAGTGACTTCCCACAGTCTGGGATTGGTATCAGAAATAATTATGAAATTTTCATCATTAGAATATTATATTAATTGTCTTTTAGTTCAGCGTTGTGAGAATTTATGAAGAATTTATGCTGGTTTTCAATTATCATTTCTTCTAAGACATTATTTTTCCTATAATTTTGAGATTGAATATAGTTACATAATTTAGACCTTCCCTTTCTTCTTCCTAATCCCTCCATACCCTTCTCCTTGCTCTTTTTAAAATTCACAGCATTTTCTCAATAATTGTTATTGTGTACATTTATGTATGGATATATATATACATCCATACATACATACATATATATACATATATATATTCTTAGATATATGTATGTAACCTTTATTTTCAAGGCAGACCATTAATATTAGATAAAAATGGGTGTGCTTTTCCCTGGGGAAGACTATTCTTCCCACTGTCATCATGTCTTAGTTACCTGTAGTTCTTTGGGTAGGGTTTTAGCCTCCTGGGCTTTACTTCATTCATGCATATTGTTTTTGTAAGCTTGTGATTAGGTAATCATGTTAGTGAGACTTTATGGGTGCAGCTTCTTACATTCCTAGAAGATACAATCTCAGAGCAACCTCCCTATTCCTCTGCACCAAACCCACACCTAAGGCTCAGAAGTCATTGCAGAAAATGAGTAAGAGAAATATGAGTTTTCCAAACCAAGTGTGCAATACCTGCATTTTAGAGGACAGCATGGTAGCTTTCATTTTATCTTCATGCCTTAAAAGAGTAAACACATCAGTGACTGCTGTGTAACACAGAGGATGATGAGATTCTTGTTATAAAAAGAAACATCTGGAGTTGTTTACTATCTTACAGTAATAATTCTGAGTTTGTCATTCTACAACAAGCTTCAGAATGTCTTTTCTATAAAGTTTAACTTTCCAATAACCCTCTGGTTAGACTGATTCTGTGTAATGTCATCAAGCAGTATTATGGAAAGAGAAAGCCTACAGGATTAATTGATTTTCCTATATCCTAGTATCAGCTATATAAGACAGATTGTCAGCTCTGTGGGCTTTGCATTATGCATTGTGATTCAGTACACACCCAGGCTCTCTCAGTTATAACTGGGTTGCAAGGAACACATCCATAGTCCTGAGGCTCAGTGTCAGTAGAATTTGTTACTTATAGAGATCAAGGTTTATCTTTTAGCACTATACCACAGAAGCCCCAGTAATCTTTATTTTATTTACTTGTCTAGCAAACAACCTCTTTTAAATGAGTTTCTTTCTGAGAAAGGGCAGTGTTGGTGTCATTTTCAAATTACATTTTATAGGTAGGCAAAATAGTGATAATTAATGCTTTCTAGGAAATGAAGCACCATGTAGATACCAAGATAAAAATTTTATTTTTTTTAGTCAACAAGTATGAAAAAGTTCCTTGTGTCCAGTATCTCTGAAAATGCAATTGTAAATATTTAAAATAAAATTAGGATACTGAAAAAAATTATTTATAGTAAAAATAAGCCAAGTCATAAATATTCAAAATAATTAAAACATCAAAAAGCTGTGTAGTACATATTACAACTGTCAACTATAATCTAAACAAAATAAAAATACTTAAGATAAATCCTTTTAAATTTTTATTTCATAAAAAAAGAAAAAAATTTTATTTCATGCTTTGATATTATGACAATTATAGTATTTACTTCTTTCCTCTCATAGCTCCAAAATCTCCTTTCTTTATTGAATTCAACAATATTTATTCAGTTGTTATATCACACACACACACATATATATGTATATATGTGTGTCTTCACTATATATATATATATATATATATATATATATATTGCTCAGTAATAAAAAATTGAGTTGTATATGGGTGGCTTTAAGGCTGACCCCCTGATGGTGAATATAAATTGGGGAGCTCTTTCCAGGGGAAGACTATTTCTTATAAAACTAAACTTTCAAAAATCATAATGCGTTCTCTAATTTATCTTATGTATGGTAGATATGCATGTATACTCTAAGTACCATACAGTTCTTTCATTTATTATCTGAATGATATTCACAGTTTAAGCTGAGTGCAAGGAGCAAAAGATAATGCTTTTTCTCACAAAATCTAAATCTTAGAAACTTTATAAAGAAGAGAAGATAAATATTACACAGTATCCTTTTTGAAACATATTTTGCTAAATTGATAACTCTAGATCTGGATGGATAAATGCTTATCTGCTACTGTTGAACACTAAGTCCCCACATTAGAAAAAACTATTAAGATCATTCAAGTCAAGAATCTCCTAGCAGAACTCCAGACACCAGAACGTGATATAGTCTACCTTTTACAGTTGCTACAAATTCAGTATGCAATCTCCTTTAAACTCATTCTAGTCAAATGTATCAATTTCAGTTATTTGACTTTTTGATGTCAATCATTTCATGTCCTGGTCATCTGAGGTCATATAACAATTGCTCTTACCACTAGTTTTTGAAAATTTTTCTTTCTATCTATGTCAATTATGAAAATTCACAGTGTCTCTAGATATTTCTACATGTCTTCTAGAATGATAAATCCTTTTAATAACCACTGATGTAAGAATGTGGGATGTGAATTCCATCCTGGCAGGGTCCAGCCCAGCCAGAAACTGTCATCCGGCATTCTGGTCCCTTCCTCCAGACATGGGATGGGATAAGCTTGGACATGTTTCTAGTGCCCTGCTCAGAGCCACCTAAAGCCAGGGGACTGTGCACTGAGGATCCCATCTAGGCAGGTTCCATCCCAGACAGAGACTGTTAGCCAGCATCCTAGTCACTGTCTCTGCCCACAGGATGAGGAAGAGGAGAGCCATCAGAGTACTGGACCTGCTTGTACCCCTGGAGGGAACCTTGGTCCCCTACACACCAGAAGAGGAAGAGACTCCTTCTGCACCCACTAGAAGAAGGGATGAGAAGAAGACAATACAAAACACATTCAACAACAGAAAAAAATATATGGCACAACCAGAGTCTAGGGACTCTACACCAGCAATACCTGAACATCCCAACACAAATGAAACAGAAGAGAATGACCTTAAAAACAACTTCATGAAAATGATAGAGGCTCTCAAATAAGATATGAGAAAATCCCTGAAAGAAAAGGAAGAAAAAACAAAACAAAAAACATAAATGAACAATTTTCTAAAGGAAAGCCAAGAAAAAACAATCAAACAGATGAAGGAAAAAGTTCAAGACCTGAAAACTGAAATAGAGACAATAAAGAAAACAAAACAAAGGAAGACTTGAAATAGAAATGCTTTGTAAACTATCAGGAACTACAGAGGCAAGCATAACCAACAGAATACAAGAGATGGAAGAAAGAATCTCAGGTGTTGAAGATAAACTAGGAGAAATAGATTCATCGACCAAAGAACATCTTAGGCCCAACAAAACCTTAACACAAAATATCCAGGAAATATGGGACACCATGAAAAGACCAAACCTAAGAATAATAGGTATAGAAGAAGGTGAAGAAACCCACCTCAAAGACACAGAAAACATATGCAATAAAATTATTGAAGAATACTTTCCAAACCTAAGAAAAGACATGCCAATGAAAGCACAAGAAGCATACCAAACACCAAATAGAGTGGATCACAAAAAGTCCCATTGCCATATAATAATCAAAACCCCAAACATATAGAATAAAAAAACAATATTAAGAAGAGCTAAGAAAAATATCAATTAACATATAAATCTATCAGAATTATACCTGACTTCTCCATGGAAACCCTGAAAGCCAGAAGGTCCAGGATAGATATTCTACCAACACTAAGAGACCATGGATGCCATCCCAGACTACTATACCCAGCAAAGTTTTCAATCACTATAGATGGAGAAAACAAAATATTCCATGACAAAACCAGATTTAAACAATACATATCCACTAATCCAACCCTACACAAAGTTCTGGAAGGACCCAAGGAAGTTAACTATAACCAGAAAAACATAAGCAATAGATAATCCCACTTTACCAACACCCAGAAGAAAAAAAGGGGGGGGGGAATCCAAACACAATTCTACCACCACCACCAAATCCAAAACAAACAAGAATAGACAATCAAATATCCCTCAATATTAATGATCTTAACTCACCTATAAAAACACACAGGCTAACAGAATGGATATGAAGATGGGATCCATCCTTCTACTGCATACAAGAAACACGCCTCAACTTCAAAGACAAATGGTACCTCAGAGTTAAGGGTTTAGGAAAGATTTTCCAATCAAATGGACCCAAGAAACAAGCTGGGGTAGCAATCCTAATTTCTAAAAATTAGACTTCAAACTAAAATCAATCAAAAGAGATGAAGGAGATCATTTCATATTCATCACAGGAGAAATGCATCAAGATAAAGTCTCAATTCTGAATATTTTTTCCCCAATACAAAGACTCCCACATTTGTAAAAGAAACATTACTAAAGCTCAAATCACACATAAAACCTCAGACACTTATAGTGAGAGACTTCAATACCGCACTCTCAACACTAGACAGGACAACCAGAGAGAAACTTTACAAAGAAACAAAGGAACTAATAGAAGTTATGACCCAATTGGGTTTAACAGATATCTATAGACCATTTCATCCAAACAAAAAAGTATACCTTTTTCTCGGTGCCACATAGAATCTACTCTAACGTTGACCACATACTTGGCAACATAGCAAACCTCAACAGGTATGAAAAACACTGGAATAACGCGCTGTATCATATCAGACCACCATGCTTTTTGTTTGTTTGTTTGTTTGTTTGTTTTTAGAGACAGGGTTTCTCTGTGGCTTTAGAGGCTGTCCTGGAACTAGTTCTTGTAGACCAGGTTGGTCTCGAACTCACAGAGATCCGCCTGCCTCTGCCTCCCAAGTGCTGGGATTAAAGATGTGCACCACCAACGCCCAGTTCACCATGCTTTAAAATTAGAATTCAACAACATAATTGCAGAAGACATAGAAACTCATGGAAATTGAATAATGCGAAACTGCACCATGCCTGGATCAAAGAAGAAATTAAAGACTTCCTGCAATTCAATGAGAATGAAGACACAACATACCTAAACTTATGGGATGCTTTGAAACCAGTGCTAAGAGGAAAGAGCATAGCACTAAATGCCCACATGAAGAAAATGGAGAATAGTTACACTAGAGAATTGACAACACAACTGAAAGCTCTAGAACAAAAAGAAGCAAACTCATCCTGGAGTAGATATCAGGAAATAATCAAATTGAGAGCTGAAATCAATGAAGTAGAAACTAGGAAAACAATATAAAGAAACAATATAATGAAGAGTTGGTTCCTCGAGAAAATCAACAAAATAGACAAACTTTATCCAAACTTACAAACAGCATGGAGTGACATGAAAATTAATAAAATCAGGAATGAAAAGGGGGACATAACAACAGACACTGAGGAAATCCAGAGAAACGTGAGGTCATACTTTGAAAACCTGTATTCCTCAAAATTCAAAAATATAAAGGAATTGGACAATTTTCTGAATAGATTTGACTTACCAAAATTAAATCAAGAGCAGAAAAGCAATTTAAATAGACTTATACCCCTTAATGAAATAGAAGCAGTGATCAAAATCTCCCAACCAAAAAAGCACAGGGCCAGATGGCTTCAGTGCAGAATTCTACCAGGGATTCAAAGAACAGCTAGTATCAATTCTCCTCAAAGTATTCCATAGAACAGAAGCAGAAAGGGCATTACCTAGCTCCTTTTACAAGGTCTCAATACTCTTGATACCCAAGCAACAAAAACACAACCATGAAACAGAACCAATATCCCGCATGAACATTGATGCAAAAACCCTCAATAAAATATTTGCAACTCAAATTCAAGAACACATTAGAAAAATCATCCACCATGATCAAGTAGTCTTCATCCCAGGGATGCAGGGATGGTTCAACATACAAATATCCATCATTGTAATCCACCATATGAACAAACTGAGAAAGAAAAACCATATGATCATCTCACTAGATGCTGAAAAAGCCTTTGACAAAATCCAACACCCCTTCATGATAAAGGGCAAGGAGAGATCAGAGATAACAGGAACATTTCTAAACATAATAAAAGCAATATATAGTAATCCAACAGCCAACATCAAACTAAATGGAGAGAAACTCAAGGTGATTCCTCTAAAATTAGGAACAAGACAAGGCTGTCCATACTCTCCATACCTCTTTAATATTGTCCTTGAAGTTCTACCTAGAGCAGTTAGACAACAAAAGGAGATCAAGGGGATACAAATTGGAAAAGAAGTCAAACTCTCACTCTCTGCAGATGATATGATCATTTACAAAAGTGACCCAAAAAAACTCCTACACCTGACAAACACCTTCATCAAAGTGGCAGGATAAAAGATAAACTCAAAAAATCAGTAGCCCTACTATATATAGATGATAAATGGGCTGAGAAAGAAATCAAAGAAACATCACCCTTTACAATTGCCACAAACAACATAAAATACCTTGGGGTAACTCTAACCAAACACATGAAAGACCTGTATCACAAGAACTTTGAGTCATTAAAGAAAAAGATTAAAGAAGATACCATAAAATGAAAAGATCTCCCAAGTTCTTGGATAGGTAGGATCAACATAATAAAAATGGCAATCTTGCCAAAAGCAATCTACAGATTCAATGCAAACCCCATCAAAATCCTATTACAATTCTTGAAAGACCTTGGAAGAACAATTCTCGACTTTTTTACAAAAACAACTACTATGATAGCCTAAACAACCCTGAACAATAAAGGAAATTCGGAGGTATCACCATCCCTGATTTCAAGCTCTATTATAGAGATATAGTCCTGAAAACAGCTTGGTATTGGCACAAAAATAGACAAGTAGACCAATGGAATTGAGTTGAAAACTCTGATATTAACCCACACACCTACTAACACATGATTTTTGACAAAGAATCTAAATATATACATTGGAATAAAGAAAGCATCTTCAACAAATGGTGCTGCCATAACTGGATGCTGGCATGTAGAAGACTGCAGATAGATCCATGTCTATCACCATGTACAAAACTTAAGTCCAAATGCATCAAAGACCTCAACATAAATCCAGCCACACCAAACTTCTTAGAAGAGAAAGTAGCTGTTACCCTCCAATGAATTGGTACAAGAGACAGCTTCTTTATCACAACACCAGTAGCATAGACACTGAGAACAACAATTAATAAATGGGACCTCCTGGAACTAAGAAGCTTTTGTAAGGCAAAGGACAAAATGCCAGCCCACCAGAATGGGAAAAGATATTCACCAACCCCACATCTGACTGATTTCAAAAATATACAAAGAACTCAAGAAGCTACTCTCCAAACACCAACTAATCCATTTTAAAAGTGGGGTGTAGAAGTATAGACAGTTCTCAATAGAGGAGTCTAAAATGGCTGAAAGACACTTAAGGAAATGCTCAACACCCTCAGCCACCAGGGAAATGCAAATCAAAACAGCTCTAAGGTAAAATCTCACACCTATGAGAATGGCTAAAATCAAAAAGACCAAGAGAGTTTATGCTGGAGAAGATGTGGAGAAAGGATAACACTCCTCCATTGCTGGTGGGAGTGCAGACTTGCACAGCCACTTTGGAAATCAGTATGGTGGTTTCTCAGGAAAATGTGAATCAGTCTACCTCAAGATCCAGCAAATCCAACTCAGGCATATATATCCAAAGAATGCACATTCATACAACAAGGACATATGGTCAACTATGTTCATACCATCATTATTTGTAATAGCCACAACCTGGAAGCAACCTAGATACCCCTCAACCAATGAATGCATAAAGAAAATGAGGTACATTTGCACAATGGAGTACTACTCAGCAGAAAAGAAAAAAAATGAAATCTTGAAATTTTCAGGAAAATGGATGGAACCAGAAGAAACCATCCTGAGTGAGGTAACCCAGTCACAAAAAAAGACAAACGTGGCATGTACACATTCACATATGTATTTTAGACATAGAACAAAGGAATACCAGCCTACAATCCACACTGTCAGAGAATCTAGGAAACAAAGATTACCCTAAGAGAGATATACATGATCCCCAGGAGAAGGGGAAAGGGACAACATCTCCTGAGCTAATTGGGAGCATGGGGGGGGGGAAGAGGGAGCTAGAAGAAAGAGAAGGGGAGAAGAGGAGGGGAAGGGAGGACAGGAGAGAGCAGTAAGATCTAGTCAGGGGAAGAATAGAGGAGAGCAAGAAAAGAGATACCATAATAGAGGGCACTGTATCAAGTTTAAAGAGAATTGTGGCATTAGGGAAATGTCCAGAGATCTACCAGTTTGACCCCAACCAACAATTTAAGCAATATTTGAGAGGCTACCCTAAATGCCCTTCTCCAGTCATGAGATTGATGACTACCTTATATGCCATCCTAGAGCCTACCAACATACAGTAGCTGATGGAAACAGAAGCAGACACCCACAGCTAAACACTGAGCTGAATTCTGGAATCCAGTTGCAGAGAGGGAGAAATGATGAGCAAAGGGGTCAAGACCAGGCTGTAGAAACCCACAGAAACAGCTGCCCTGAACAAGGAGTTGCTCATGGTCCCCAGACTGATAGCTATGGAACCAGCATAGGGCTGTTCCAGTACCCCTGATCGAGGATGCAATTTTGGAGGCCTGGCTAATCTATGGGGCCTCTGGTAGTGGATCAGTATTTATCCACTAGTACGGGAATGGACTTTGGGAGCCCAATCCATATGGTGGAGGGTCTAGGCCCTGCTCCAAATGATATGGCAGACTTTGAAGATCCACTATGGAAGTGCTCACCCTCCATGGGGAGCAGAAAAGGGATGTGATAAAGGTTGGTGGGGAGCAGAGGAGGAGGTGAGGCAGGGGGAACTTTGATTGACATGAAAAAGAAGCTTCTTTCTAATTTAAATTTGAAAAAAAGAAAAAAAAGGTGTGATTGCTTCTTTCTATAGAAATGACTAGAAATCCTCTCAGCTTTATCTGATTTTACTTGTCTGAAGTAGGCATGAACAACAGTCTGTTCATAGAAAAAGCTTACTTAAAGGAACATGGAGAAATAGTTACTTACAGGAGCATGGTTGAGAGAAAGACAGTGGCATTTCTGTAGAGTCCAGGCACAGCTTGGCTGCTTCACTGCAATTCCACCTCCAGTTAATATTCCACATCCTATATAGACAGTTGAACTATCCACACACTGCTAGAAGGCAAGAAGAACAAAGGTGAGTGTCATATGACTCTCTAATTTCAGGCATCCTCATGACCATGGTGATTCAAGTAGTCAATACGACCTTTTCAACTTATTTCAATATTTCTAGTGTCCAAATTAAGTTGCAAATCATTGTAGCCATCTCTGATCCATAAAGGTTACTATGAATTCCACATCCTAGAAAAAATCTGTGTCCCAGACTTTTGATATTCTTCAGTTTCTGTCACTGAATCTTGGTTAGGGTGAAATTTATTTCACATTTCTGAGCATTGCAACAGAAGGCCACAGAAACAGTCCTGCATTCTGAGCAATTTAACGTGTGTGTGTGTGTGTGTGTGTGTGTGTGTGTGTGTGTGTGTATGTATGTATGTATGTATGTATGTGTGTATGCAAGATCCAAGCAACGCAGTTAAATATTTGTTTATACACACTAGGCACAATAGGTCAGTAATGTAGCGTGCAAACACAGACATGTAGAGGATTCTCTGTTTTGCTTTTTGTTTCTTTATTTGGTTGATTGGTATAATTATAGTCACAATTAACTTAAAAATTAAAGCTGGCTGTGGCTTTCCCTTTCTCTAAACCCAAGCATGTTGTTAAAAGTTCAGAGTTTTCTGTCTCATATCCAAAGACTCATCTGGTAAGAGACAAAAGAAAACCCACATTAGGGACTATCATTGTCAAAACTCTGTTATCTCCGCAAAATTCTATTTTTTCCATACTTATTTTCATCTTTATTGGTACCTTTTCCTTGTATACATACCTATAAATATTTAAACATTACATTTTGAATTAGATGTTTAAGTGTTCCACAGTGAACAATAAAATTTCCTAACAAAAATCTCTGAAGGCTCCAAAAAGATGAGGCCCCACAATGCTGATTCTACTTGGTTCAAAATGATGTCTTTGAACTGGTAAACACCAGTCAAGGATTGGTTTTGGACTAAAACTTCTCTAGACAATTCCAGATTAGCTAGCTGAGATGGTTCACCTTATTACAACACTATGGCCGTAAGTGAAAGACCTGTACCATAAGAATTTTAAGTCTCTAAAGAAAGAAATTAAAGAAGATACCAGAAAATGGAAGATCTCCCATGCTCTTCTATAGGCAGGATCAACATAGTAAAAATGGCAATCTTGCCAAAAGCAATCTACAGATTCAATGCAATCCCCATCAAAATCCCAACACAATTCTTCACTGACCTTGAAAGAACAATTCTCAACTTTATATGGAGAAACAAAAGACCCAGGATAGCCAAAACAAATCTATACAATAGAGGAACTTCTGGAGGCATCACCATCCCTGACTTCAAGATTATTACAGAGCTATAGTCCTGAAAACAACTTGGTATTGACACAAAAATAGACAGGTAGACCAATGGAATAGAGTTGAAAACCCTGATATTAACCCACACACCTACTAACACATGATTTTGACAAACAATACAAATATATACACTGGAACAAAGAGAACATCTTCAACAAATGGTGCTGGCATAACTGGATG